GGCATTTAATGGACTAATTTGTTACATTTAATTGTTTTTTGTTTTTTATTGATTTTTGAAAAAAAAATTATATATATATATATATATATATATATATATATATATATATATATATATACACACTGTAACACTGTGTTACAATTGCCCCCAAGCCACAAGGCCCATTGTAATAAGCTTGTTTGTGTGTGTTGACATACTTTTCTGTTAAAAAAAATGAACATATTACACTAAATTCTATTGTAAAACTTCATTTTAAAAGGGTATATTAAAATAAATGTTCATTTTAAAAGGGTATATTAAAATAAATAAATGTTAAAATAAAGGGTATATTAAAATAAAATAAATGCTTCAAATAAAGATTGTAGATCTTTACTGTTTTCCAGTAGTTACTGTTAAAATGTTTTTGAAGAGATTCGTTCAAAACCTCTGGACAAAAGTCATGAATTAACTTCTGTTTTGTTTAAATTAATATATATTATTTAATAGACTAATTTTTATATTTATAGGCATTTAATGGACTAATTTGTTACATTTAATTTTTTTTGTTTTTTATTGATTTTTGAAAAAATAAAATTATATATATATATATATACACACTGTAACACTGTGTTACAATTGCCCCCAAGCCACAAGGCCCATTGTAATAAGCTTGTTTGTGTGTGTTGACATACTTTTTTGTTAAAAAAATGAACATATTACACTAAATTCTATTGTAAAACTTCATTTTAAAAGGGTATATTAAAATAAATGTTTGTTCCAGTATTAACAAATCATCAATTAACATTTTTTATATAAAATAATGTGTGTTTTATATGTGCTTGACAAGTTGTGTGAATATTATATAAAATCTTAAGTAACATTATTGAATACAACAGCAGTAAAGTGATTACTTTGAGGTAGGCTTTTATTTGAGATAAAAGTGGGTTAATAGGAGTTATTTCTCAGTGTTACAATTGCCCCCACACTGCATTTAATTAAATATTTTAGTCTTGTTTTTATAAGTGAAAATATATAAATTGTATTATTAATTAGTGCACATATATATATGTTTCTTGTATCAAAAGATGACTAGTGTATCTCAAGTAGTTTGTGAGTTATTAAGGAAAATGTAAAATATGTTACAATTGCCCCCGGTCTCCCATAGAGACGATTGGTGTATGACATCACAGTACTGATTCGAAAGCATACAGTATGATCTTGAAGCAGCACTCTACAGAGTACAGACGATTGGTGTATGACATTACAGTACTGATTCGAAAGCATACAGTATGATCTTGAAGCAGCACTCTACAGAGTACAGACGATTGGTGTATGACATCACAGTACTGATTTGAAAGCATACAGTATTATCTTGAAGCAGCACTGTACAGAGTACAGACGATTGGTGTATGACATCACAGTACTGATTTGAAAGCATACAGTATGATCTTGTAGCAGCACTGTACAGAGTACAGACGATTGATGTATGACATCACAGTACTGATTCGAAAGCATATATGATCTTAAAGCAGCCGAACAACCAATAAAAGTAATTGGATCAAACAAAAAAAAATTACGTATTCATAACTTTTCAACGTTTACTTAACATATATAGTCTGTGTAACACAAAAATATAAGTTACTAGGTGCACTTAAATGTATGCATAAATAAAATAAAAAATAAAAAACATAAAGCATGTCAACTACTACAATAATTGCATCAAAATTAAGTAAATCGAGCATATCATTTTAAGTAACTATATGAGCCACGTGATATAGGCTATGCAATTTCCCGTGATGCCTATCCAGACAAAAAATTTATGAAACACATGTGAAGACGTTGAGAAGACGTAAGCTTATTTTTTGTACTTAGGCCTACACTACACATGATCATTTATTGCATTTTTGGTCAAGAAATTTACTTTTAACTGATTTTCAGAATTGCTACAAATTTTGCATCAACAATTAGAAACGTTACACTGTAAAAATGAATATGACTTATCTAATCAATACAATTGTGGCAACAGATTACAAACAATATTATTATTTAAATTCAACAAATTAGAATTGAGTAATAATTAATCAAATTATTTAAAATGAGTAAAGTTTACACCAAAAAACTAAACTAAAATATCAGAATAACAGACAGACGTCAAAGATTAATTAAGAACTCTTTATTTTAAATTGGCAACATTGAAGACACCTGATGTGAACAAGCAGAATCACTGAAGGAGAAAACCGGCATTTTAAAACAAACACACGATCACCACAATGCTGACTTAAATGTACTTTTTTTTTGGTACGTTTTACTCACACTGAAAAAAAATAATATGCTTTATCTAATCAATAAAATTGTGGCAACATATTACAAGCAATATTATTAATTAAATTATACAAATTAGAACTAATTAGAATGTTAATTTGATTAACTATTACTCAATTCTAATTTGTTCAATATTACTTGTAATCTGTTGGCACAATTTTATTGATTAGATAAGGCTTATTCATTTTTACAGTGCATGTTAAGGAATTAATTTGATTAATTTTTACTCAATTCTTTTGTTAAATTGAATTAATAATATTGCTTGTAATCTGTTGCAGCAATTTTTTTTATTAGGCATTAATTTTTACAGTGTACTTATGAATGCAAACATTTGTTGAATGAAATAAGTGTTTTGCACGCGAGTATATATTGTGTGTTTTTTTTTTGTTGTTTTTTTCAAAATATATGACCATGATGTTGGCTCGTATGCATTAATGGTGTGTTCACACCGAACGCGAATTTAATTGCGATAGCAGATTACATTCATAGTCAATGCAAAGAACGAGTCACCCATCATTTGCGCCGGGCGTCGCGAATTGGGTGACTCGTTTGCCGCGAACGTCTTTCTCAGTAGAAAATTTTGAACTAGAGCAGGCTGCGGAAAATTCAAGCGTCTAACTACACGCGAAGTGTTTGACGCGTTCGGTGTGACCAATTCGGACTGCGCTCTCTCCCCCACGGATAGATTATAGGCCTACTTTATTAGCGAGTTGTTTTTGGATAAAACAAATGTATTTTGCATATTTACAAATTCCCATGTTCTCTATCTTTAATGTCTATACATGGATCGCGGGAAAGGGGGCCTTGGGCGCGGGTTAGCCTACTTTTGGTAACGTTAACATACAAATATTAAATTCGAAAACACATTGCCTACAGCTCCGTGTGCACGATTTATCAGTAAATAATGGCAATCTTGATTCTAGCACAATATTATTCCTAAATGACAGCGACAATTCAGTAAATTAAACCTTCAAAATTATTATCAAAATAAGTAAATACCCTTTAAACAAAAGTTTAGCTTCAAATAAAGATTGTAGATCTTTACTGTTTTCCAGTAGTTACTGTTAAAATGTTTTTGAAGAGATTCGTTCAAAACCTCTGGACAAAAGTCATGAATTAACTTCTGTTTTGTTTAAATTAATAGATATTATTTAATAGATTAATTTTTATATTTATAGGCATTTAATAATGGACTAATTTGTTACATTTAATTGTTTTTTGTTTTTTATTGATTTTTGAAAAAATAAAATTATATATATATATATATATATATATATATATATATATATATATATACACACTGTAACACTGTGTTACAATTGCCCCCAAGCCACAAGGCCCATTGTAATAAGCTTGTTTGTGTGTGTTGACATACTTTTCTGTTAAAAAAATGAACATATTACACTAAATTCTATTGTAAAACTTCATTTTAAAAGGGTATATTAAAATAAATGTTCATTTTAAAAGGGTATATTAAAATAAATAAATGTTAAAATAAAGGGTATATTAAAATAAAATAAATGCTTCAAATAAAGATTGTAGATCTTTACTGTTTTCCAGTAGTTACTGTTAAAATGTTTTTGAAGAGATTCGTTCAAAACCTCTGGAAAAAAGTCATGAATTAACTTCTGTTTTGTTTAAATTAATAGATATTATTTAATAGACTAATTTTTATATTTATAGGCATTTAATGGACTAATTTGTTACATTTAATTGTTTTTTGTTTTTTATTGATTTTTGAAAAAATAAAAATATATATATATATATATATATATATATATACACACTGTAACACTGTGTTACAATTGCCCCCAAGCCACAAGGCCCATTGTAATAAGCTTGTTTGTGTGTGTTGACATACTTTTCTGTTAAAAAAATGAACATATTACACTAAATTCTATTGTAAAACTTCATTTTAAAAGGGTATATTAAAATAAATGTTTGTTCCAGTATTAACAAATCATCAATTAACATTTTTTATATAAAATAATGTGTGTTTTATATGTGCTTGACAAGTTGTGTGAATATTATATAAAATCTTAAGTAACATTATTAAATACAACAGCAGTAAAGTGATTACTTTGAGGTAGGCTTTTATTTGAGATAAAAGTGGGTTAATAGGAGTTATTTCTCAGTGTTACAATTGCCCCCACACTGCATTTAATTAAATATTTTAGTCTTGTTTTTATAAGTGAAAATATATAAATTGTATTATTAATTAGTGCACATATATATGTTTCTTGTATCAAAAGATGACTAGTGTATCTCAAGTAGTTTGTGAGTTATTAAGGAAAATGTAAAATATGTTACAATTGCCCCCGGTCTCCCATAGAGACGATTGCTGTATGACATCACAGTACTGATTCGAAAGCATACAGTATGATCTTGAAGCAGCACTCTACAGAGTACAGACGATTGGTGTATGACATCACAGTACTGATTTGAAAGCATACAGTATGATCTTGAAGCAGCACTGTACAGAGTACAGACGATTGGTGTATGACATCACAGTACTGATTTGAAAGCATACTGTAACCCGGGTAATCCAGGCTACTAAAAAAATAATATGGAAGCAGAAAATAAGTAAGAAAGAAACAAAGAAATCACATATCAAATGAGGTGATGGGCTCTTTAAGAGCTAGCAGCAGAGGAAGTGCGGGAGTGCGCTAAGCCCCGCCCATCTGTACTAGCGGGCGAGTGAAATAAAGCTTGCCTCGACCATTGTTATGGAAACATCCAGGACGCGTTTTATTCTAAGGCATTGCCCGGTTTGGGGAACTCGGACCATAACATGATTAAACTGATGCCTATATATGTGTCCCGACTACGGCGTGAGAGAACAAAAAAGGTGGAGGTTAAATGCTGGACTGCTGCTGCGACTGAGGCACTTCAGGATTGCCTGGAGTGCACCGATTGGAATGTAGTGACAGATGGGACTGATAACGTCAATGACGCAGTGTTTGCTATCTCTGGTTATGTACAATTCTGTGAGGACACAATCATCCCCACAAAGACTATTAAGATTTTCCCAAACAACAAGCCCTGGGTTACCCCAGAGTTAAAGCAACTCCTTAATGAGAAAAAGCGTGTGTTTAAATTAGGTGGAAGCAGAGAAGAAAAAAAGATAGTACAGAAAAAGATTAAAAGTAAGATTTATGAATGTAAAGCAGCATATAAACACAAGTTAGAAACTTTTTTTAAAAATGATGCTAGGAGAGCTTGGCAGGGAGTCCAATCTATCACAGGATATAAGCCCAAGAAGCACCCGATGGTAGTAGAGAACAATTTTAATATGGCAAATCAATTGAATGATTTTTATTGTAGATTTGATAAATATGATTTTAAAGTTGAACAGAGTGAGGCCATCACAGCAGTGAAAGAGATGAAGGGTACGGGCATTCACATCTCTATTAATGAGGTTAAATCACATTTTAGACGTATAAACTCCCGTAAAGCCTGTGGTCCTGATGGTATCAGCTGCAGGACACTAAAGGTGTGTGCTGACCAGTTGGCACAGCCCTTCCAAAGGCTGTTCCGGCTGTCAATAGATACAGGTGTCATTCCCAGCCTATGGAAACAATCCCTAATAGTGCCTGTGCCCAAAAACAATAGACCTAAAGAACTTAATGATTTGCGCCCTGTTGCTCTTACCTCTGCAGTTATGAAATGTTTTGAGAAAATAATTTTAAAACAACTTATTCATGAGGTTTCACCTCTTTTAGATCCGAATCAATTTGCCTATCGTGCAGAGAGAGGTGTTGAGGATGCACTGCTATCTTTGATTAACAGCACTCATGAGCATCTTGAGCATACTCAGAGCCTGGTCAAGATTGTGTTCATTGACTTCAGTAGTGCTTTTAATACGATCCAACCCCACCTGTTGGTGAGAAAATTAGTGCACCTAGGAGTAAATCCACAATTGATTTTATGGATCTACGACTTCTTGACTGAGCGTAGTCAGCAAGTCAGATTCAATTCATGTATATCTTCCTTAAAAACGACAAACACAGGTGCACCACAAGGGTGCGTTCTGTCGCCTATTTTATACTCATTATACACCAATGATTGTCAAGCTATCTCTTCATCCTACACTTATTTTAAATATGCTGATGACATAGCATTGGTTGGCTTTTTAAAATCAGACAATTCTTCTGTGAGCGGATTTCAGAGGGAATTGCAGGGCTTCACTCATTGGTGTTCTGAGAACTTCCTCGAAATCAATGTGAAGAAAACAAAAGAGATGGTCATAAATTTTAGTAAAAACAAAATAACAGTTCCCTCCTCTGAGATCAATGGTGAATTGGTGGAGAGGGTCGCAACATATAAATACTTGGGAGTTGAAATTGATTCGAAATTAACTTTTAACGAATGTGCACTGAAAAAAACTAAGAAAATGCACCAAAGGATGTATTTCCTAAGAAAATTATATAATTTTAGACTAGAAAGACACATTCTTGTTATGTTTTATAAAAGTTTCCTCCAGAGTGTTCTGTCCTTTGGCCTTATCTGTGTGTTTGGTAACATGCATGTTAAAGATCAAGGGAAACTGCAGCGCATGATTAAGATGGCCAGCAGGATCATTGGAATTGACCAGGTGTCGGTAGCTGAACTGTATAATGAACTTATCTTAAAAAAAACTGATCAGATCCTCAAGGATCCTGCTCACCCTCTTCATTATAAATTTATGAGAAGTAATAGGTCAACTGGTAGAATTATACAACAGAGAATTAGAACAGAGAGGTACAATAAATCATTTGTACCTACATCAATCAGATTGTATAATGATCAAGTACATCGCAAGTTGTTATAGTTTTAGCTTTAAATGTTGGATTGTGATTGTCAAATCCACAGTATTGTTATTACCTTTTGTGTTTCTTTTTTAATGTTTTGTTTTTAGAAGGTTTGTTTGTGATAACAGCGCGTAATGACTACATGAATTTCCCCTTGTGGGATAATAAAGTTTACCTTGACCTTGACCTTGACCTTGAGATGAGGCAGCTACACGGAGCGATCTTCAAGACCCCTTCATGAGCTGATGCCAGAGTAAGACGCGGATGAGACGGAGGCTAGTGAAACAGATCGATGCAGATGGATGGAACATCAATGTGCCACAAATGAACTTCCTTGTAGGAAATATATATAAATTCATCGCCTTGGTGAGTTAAAACCCAAGCATTAACTTGACATTTATATAAAAATGTGCTGCGGATCTGATAGAGATTCAAAACAGTGTCATATAGACTGTGCGAGCCGAAGTGGATAGCACATGGGCTAAAGCTGACGCACGTGTGAGAATGCTAATGAGCTAATGAAGTACGCTATTAAGTGTTAAAGTGTTATGTTTAATGTGTTGATTGAAGTGCATACATGTGTTTTGACGATGATATTGTTTAACTGTGGATTAATTATTGTTCTGCCTTGTGTTTTACAAGGCTGGGTTTTTTTGTGAGATTCAAGTTCTCCTGTGATGGTTCCCTGATTCGTGCTGGACGCACGAGGTGCAGATTGTAAATGGCGAGCCACCGGAACCATATTTTCTGTTGAACTGTGTTTTTTGAGCCATCAAACTGGTAGGAGAATTCTTTCTTTTACTATTGGACAAACGGGACTTGGACTCATTGAGATCATCTTGCTTCCATTTTTTCCTTTTGATTTTCCAACAAAAGACATTGATTGTGATTCTGATTCATTCTAAAAGAATCAACAGTTCTCTGAACCCATCGACCGAGTTACGAACTCTGGTTAACCGAATCTGATTGTCAAATCTTGAGTCTCTGATTCACATTGGACAGACTATTAAGTTTAAAGAGAAAGTAATTTGTTTGTAACTGAAAGTGAAATTTCTGAATTTCATTCTGTGAACTGAATCAAACTGATTGTTCATTTGATTTGATTTTGAAGTATTTGAACTACTGATTGCAATACTTTGTGTGGAAGCATTATCCATTGTTATTTACTTTTATTGTATTACAAGGAATTTGACACAGAGGTTTATTTTATTTCTTTTATTGTTTTTCATCAATATGTGAGAGTCTGGTTCAATAGAGTACTGTCCAAAACTGAGTCCACGTATCTGGAAAAAAATATTGTGAATATTGTCATTTACCATATTTGATTTGTTATCTTTGTAATCCACACATTTTATGTAAAAGTATATTTCCTCTTAATACAAAACCCAAACTGAATCATAAAGAAGTCTTTGTATTGATTGTTCACTCACCTGTTGTGCTGTCTTCCTCTCTCCAGTAGTCGCACTTTTCTTCTGATCATTTGGCCTATTGAATGTTACGCTAGTAAGACGCGCTAACCACGTGTCACACGCTACAGTTTGGCGAGCCAGCCAGGAGAGAGGACGCAGTTTCTGCTGAGGTGAATAATCAATTTAAATAGCGCATACAGTGAATCAGACAAAATGGATGTTGTAGAACGAGAAAATGTCAATGTGCAAAATGCAGTAATTGTCAGTGGCATAACACTAACTGAACTAGATGAGGCTCTTGAGGCTTATTTGCAGAAGTTTGGCTCTATTCGACAAAACGTACTAATTGATGACGCATGCTCTGAGTTTCATCATAATGCAGTAATAGAGTTCTCATCCAATTCCGCCATGTCCAACCTCAAGCCTCAGCTACCCGCAACCATCGTAAGTCCCACTGATGCGGACACAGTGTTTCATGTGCGCGCCTTGAGTAGCGTATACACCCCTACCGCTACTAGCGCCACCGCAGGATATTTGGCGAAGTTACAGGCAATAGCAAATGCCAGTGGAGAATCCCTTCAGGACGTGCTCCAACGAGAATTGAATAAGATAAGTGAGATTAGAACTCCAGTTGACGCGTCGTCCAGAACAGAGCCTGAAATAGAGCACCATCCTGGTAAATCGAGTTTTCCGACACATGCCACCAGCACTTCTCAGCATCCAGTGTGTGAATCGCTACCTCTACGGAGAACGGAATTCGCTGCAGAGACATTGACTTGCCCTTTGAAGAATGATGAACTCAAAAACCCAGTCAAGGAAGCCATGAGCGCTACATCACCGCATTGCTCAAGAGATCTCGACGACAGCACTACTGAGACGGTATCACTGAAACTCCCTATGACTGCTGTACACCCTCCAGGTATCCAGAAAGTGGTGATGGAACACATTGTAAGGACGAGTGACTCCTTGTCCCCACACAATACTCCGTTTCGCCTAAGAGCTTTCTCTGGGAGGAGCCCCCGCCCAAGCAATGAGCCTGATTTTGACACCTGGCGAGCAAGTGTTGACTACCTGTTGAACGATCCATCCCTTCCAGAGTCACACAAGACACGGAGAATTCTAGATAGCCTGTTACCACCAGCTTCCGACATCATTAAACATGTGAATCCAACAGCTCCATCGTCAGAGTGCCTTAAGCTGCTAGAGTCCGTCTATGGTTCGGTGGAGGATGGATACGAATTATTGGCTAAGTTCATCAGCACCCTGCAAAATCCAGGTGAGAAATCATCTGCCTACCTCCACAGATTGCATGTGATCCTGAGTGCTACCATCAGACGTGAAGGTGTTGCGGAAGGTGAACGAGACCGATGTTTGTTGAAGCAGTTCTGCCGTGGCTGTTGGGACAACACCCTTATAGCTGACCTGCAGCTTGAAAAGAGGAAGGTAGACCCACCTCCTTTTGCTGAATTAGCGACACTCATTCGCACAGCTGAGGACAAACAGGCCTCTAAGGAGGAGAGAATGAGGAAGCACTTGGGTGTGAGCAAGTATCCATCAGCTCCCCTCAAACTGAGAACGGCTTCGCACCAACAGTCTGTTTACCCATTCAGCACATTTTTAGAGGATGTTGCAGAGACCTCAGATCCTAAAAATGCAGAGCAGAAGGCACCTAAGCAGAAAGGCAAAGTCCAGTGTCCTGACGTGTCGGAAGTGAGTATCTTAAGGAAAGAAATTGCCGGCCTTCAAAGGCAAATCGCCGCCATGAAAGCAGACACTAAGAAGAAAGAAGGGGCATGTACTGAGACAAATGAGTTTGAAGAGTTGAAAAGCCAGATAAAGGAGCTTAAAGTTCAGGTTGCTGCCTCTAGTACACAGACGAACCAACCTGTAAGATTCCCTCACCTCGGAAGTAGTCTCAGCAGATCGAAGTCCAGTGAAGTCAGCAGAAAGGAGAATGAAGGACCGAAGTACACTGAGATGAGATCCAATCGTCCTCGACCATGGTACTGTTTTCGCTGTGGAGATGATGGTCACCGAGCTGCTGATTGTGAGAACGCACCCAACCCACCTAGAGTTGAGGAGAAGAGGCGGAAGCTGAAGGAGAGACAAGCTGAGTGGGACTTTCAAAATGGAACCGTGACGGCGCCTTTAAACTAAAATCAGTCTCTGTCGCAGGGCGGATGGGGACTAGAAGTCAGAAACAAAGCCCTAAGCAGCAACCAGTGACTAATGTCGACACTGGAAATTCTTTGAAGCTACCAGATGGATTAATAGGAATGAGGTGCACAGCGCAAGTCCGAGTCGAAGGGAAGGAAGTAAACTGCCTGTTAGATACAGGGTCTCAGGTCACGACAATCCCTCTGTCCTTCTACAACAGTTACTTGTCGCACCACCCCCTGCAGCCATTGAATCGCCTGTTGGAAGTCGAAGGGGCAAACGGCCAGGCTGTTCCTTACCTGGGATACGTTGAATTAGCTCTGAAGTTTCCTCAAGAGTTCTTAGGAGCAGAAGCTGAAGTTCCAACATTGGCCTTAGTAGTTCCAGACCTGACACATGTGCCCCAGATCCTCATTGGCACTAACACTCTGGATGTCTTATATGCTGATTACCTGCAAGAAACTACACACAAAGCCAAGTCATGCTACCATGGATATCGAGCTGTTATAAGAATCCTAGAAGCAAGACGGCAACAAGCTGGTGTGAGTGTCTTAGGCCAAGTGAAAGTGAAAGGAGAAATGCCTGAAGTGGTTGCTGCTGGAAGCACAGTGGTTCTAAACGGCTGTGTCAATATCGTCGGGCCAGTGTCAGAGACTTGGGTAACCGTGGAGCCATCAGCATCATCGTCTTTGCCTGGCGGACTGTTAGTGGCTAGTTGTTTGCATTCCCTACCTCCAAAGCGCAACATCCAGGTTCCAGTAGTGTTGAAAAATGAGACTCAGGTTGACTTAACAATTCCTCCTAGAGCAGTATTGGCTGAAGTGCACACTGTCCAAAGTGTGATTGAGGGAAGAAACCCTGTGAATTCTCCTGTGTGTGAAGTTGTGAGACCTGCACAAGCAAAGATTGTCCCTGACTTTGGAGACTCTCCTTTATCAAGTGAATGGAGGGAAAGAATAACTGATCTAGTGAGCTCCATGTCAGATGTATTCGCACTGCACGATTTGGATTACGGTCGGACCGATAAGGTGAAACACCACATCAATCTCAGTGACAATACACCCTTTAAGCAAAGGTCTAGGCCTATCCATCCTCAAGATGTCGATGCAGTGAGAAGGCATCTCAAAGAACTCCTCGATGCAGGTGTCATTAGAGAATCGGAATCACCCTTTGCCTCTCCGATAGTAGTGGTAAAGAAGAAGAACAATGATGTACGTCTCTGCATTGACTTTAGGAAATTGAATTCACAGACCATAAAGGACGCGTACGCTCTGCCAAATTTGGAAGAAGCCTTCTCAGCTCTAACTGGCTCCAAATGGTTTTCAGTTCTCGACTTGAAATCAGGCTTCTATCAGATTGAGATGGAAGAGGCGGATAAACACAAAATGGCATTCGTCTGTCCTTTAGGCTTCTATGAATTCAACCGAATGCCACAAGGGGTCACGAATGCGCCGAGCTCATTTCAAAGACTAATGGAGCGGTGCATGGGCGATCTTAACAGGAGGGAAGTGTTGGTCTTCGTTGACGACCTCATAGTTTTCTCTAAAACTTTAGAGGAGCACGAAACCAGACTCTTGCAAGTATTGAAGCGGTTGAGAGAGTATGGACTGAAACTTTCGC